TGAAATGTTGGTCACACTGAATATAGGGTGGTACATTCATTTCAATAGCTGGGTAGAGCCAAATTCGTAAATTCCATCGGAAGGGTGAAATCATGCATATTTACGTTGACATAGCAACAACCACCCTTTCTGTTGTCAACCTCCAGCATCCCCACACCAAAAAACATAAAATAAAATACAATAAAAATAAGGGGTATTTTTTTTAAGGTCCCTGATATTATGACTTTGTAGTATAAAGGACATCAAATATTTTCATAATGTCTAAAGCCCCTTAACATTAATCCAGAGAAATTTCAGTCCTAAAGAAATTCTCTCCAGAGAAAATTGAACTTCTCTCCAGAGAAATTCTCTGGATTCAAACCAGAGAAAATTGAAATTTTTCTGAGTACCAAAGAATTCCAGAGAAAATTGTGGAGAGAAAATTTGTGTATGTATTCAGGAAAATTCTACAAATCAGTTGCCTTATGATCTGGAGTCTTGTACATAAAAACTGATTTTATCATTGGATCGCCTTTTCACTACGCTCGCCCTTTGCATTAACCGAACCAGTGCTTGCATAACTTCAGACATGGGAGGCCGAAACTCTGGTTCAGGCTGCATAGAAGAGATACAAAACAAAAAGACATGAAAGAAGGCAACCGGTGGTCCTCTGCCTTGACAGACAAATACTGATAAGGTTATTCACAGAAATTCATTTTGATCACTTGAAGGTTTTATTACATAGCCAATGCCTTTGGACATATATAAATAAAATTCAATGATGGTTGTAAATACCATAGTGTCACCTTCCGAAAAAAATATTCACCTCAACTCAAACTGCAAAGCAGCGTGCCATGACAGAAATTATAAGAGAAATAATTACACATCCTTTGATCTGATACTGATCATTGCTTTTAAAATCGGTCAAAATAAACCCAGAGAAATTTGAATTTTCTTCGGGTTGAATCCAGAGAAAATTCAAATTTCTCTGGGTTGAATCTAGAGAAACTTGAGAAATTCTTGGGGCCTCCGCTCATGAGCTATTGCCTTCGCTTAGCCTTCTCTTGCACAGTCAAGGACTGATCGGACTCAATCGCTCGAATCGCCACTTATATACTCTATTACCTCCACCTGCTGATCCATCCGAACAACATTCTAGGTGATGAAGCCTCAAGTAACCATCTGCATCGACTTGAGCAAGCAACGGACCAACAATGGCTCCAACTAGGCTCCATTTTATATCAAAAATTCCCGCTGTCTCCACACGATGAAACAGTTCAAGCCGTCCAGCATCAGCATCAGTTCAAGCCGTCCACCCTCCAAAGAGAAGCAGCAAGAACCTAGCAACAACACCAATACCACCCCCAAACTCGGTTCCAAATTTGGCTTCTTCTCCAATCCATCCACGCCTCGATTGATCGTTCCAAGCCTTAGCCTCCGGTGCCGGACTGTGACAACAGCGACTGCTCTGACGCAATCAATTCCAGAGACCCCTAACCTCCAATGCAAGACCAAAAACAGCCCCATCTCTTCTCTCTCTAGGGTCTCGGAGGTTTGCGACGGTGGCGGAACGGAGGGAGGAGTCAGAGTAGAAGGTGTTGAGGAAAAGGTCATAGAGGAGGATGGAGGAGCAGAGCTTGTTGCCTTGGATCTGGAAGACAATGGGTGAGAGGAGAAGAGAGAGAGAGAGAGAGAGTAGAGTAGAGATAAAGAGTCAAATTTCTCTGATATATGTTTAGGGACCTTAGGCATCAAAAAATAATTTTGTGAATTTCTTCCATTACGAAAAGTGAAAGAGGGACCCTAAACTAATTTTCCCTAAAAATAAAACTCGACTTTACAATTAAGACTTTTAGGACCACAACAATATGCGAATGCTATATAATATATATCTAGATATATATGTATATAGGAGATTCCAACATACACTTCCTTTCATCACATACATTTTAATTTTATTATTTTTTTAATTATGACCAATTTTTTTTCTTTAATTATAATTCTTGAATTATATTTTATATTGTGTTTAATTATAACATTTTATTTATTTATTTATTTATAATGATTTATGTCATTTTTTTAGTTATAAGATATATAGAGTGGGCACTTTTGAATGTGTGCATAATGTTTTCATATATCTATATATATACGAACCGTTTAATTATTTGAGATTCGTCTTTTCTTTTCGATTTTGCCCTTTCATTTTGAATAATTTACTAATGGTGACCTATATTTTGAGTGAATGATTTTTTGTAATTACGCAAACATTCTTGGTTAATTATGAAATATAAATCTATTATTTGTTACAAATTACAAATACACCCATAGGGTTTGTTTAAACTATGAATCGGTCTTATAATACTAGAAATTACAACTATCATTTGTTATAAATTTTAATTTATCACAATACTCGGGAAAAAAAAAAACTATTCTCCTATGTAATACTAAATTATCAAAATTATTTATTGAAAAATATTTCTCATATCATTAAAAATTGTTAATTGACTTAATAATTTACTTATTAACAAAATAGTTAACTGAAAAATATTTTTCATAACGTTAAAAATTATTAATTTGCTTAACAATTTCCTTATGAATAAAATTGGTCATTTATTATGCGAGTATGATTTATGTACTAAGAAAAGAGTTTTTTTTTAGGGTCCCTGGTATTAAGACTTTATAGTAAAAAGGACATTTAATATTTTAATTATATCTAAGGTCCCTCAAATTGATCTAGAGAAAATTTGACTTCACAGATAAAATCTTACCAGAATTTCTCTGGACTCACTTTAACCCAGAGAAATTCTCCTAGTCTAGAGAAATTCACAAAAACTCAGAGAAAATTCCCATCTAACCCAAAAAAATTCACAAACCTCTTTAAGACCTTTCACTTTGAGGGAAAAACAACAGAAATAAAAGTCTTGAAATCATTGTCCAGAGAATATGAATATAAATACTATGTTATCTATGTGATGGAAAAAAACAAAAATTCAGACACTTTTTACAGAGATTTACGAGGAGAGTCTTAGGCCTTGTTTGGGAACATGCTTTTTTAGTAACTTTTTGAATTTTTGGCTAAAATATGATGTAAAAAAAACTAGTACGTTTGGAATGACTTTTTAACTTTTTAAGAAAAGATGTGCAAAAAATAGAGAGAAAATAGAATCTTTGACTTTTTGGTATAGGTTGTTGACTTTTTAGATTTTTTAATAACTTTTTGACTTTTTTGGCTAAAAAAGTCACTTGCCAAACGAGACATTAGTATAATATGCATCTTGCTAAGGACCAGGTTTACAAAAAAAACTATCCCAACAAAAGAACCAGACACTCTCAATTTATTTGCTTAGATAGTTAAAAAAAATAATAATAATGATTACTTATGATATTATTAATCCAGAGAAAATTTGACTTCATAGAGAAAACCTCATCAAATAAATTCTAAAAAGAATTTCTCTGGACTTTGACTTTCCATTCTCCAGAGAAATTTGAAATTTCTCTGGCCTTCCCTTTTCTCTAGAGAAATTTCCCTTCTCTAGTATTCCTTAGACATCCCACTCTCTAGAGAAATTTTGGAAATTTCTCTAAAATTTCTCTGGCCTTCCCTTCTCTCCATAGAAATTTCTTTTATCTGGCCTTCCCTCCAGAGAAATTTCAAATTTCTCTAGCCTTCTCCGACCTTCCTTGGACTTCTCACAAAATTACCTCTCTAGAGAAATTTTGAAAATTCTCTGGCTTTCCCTGAACTTCCCACAAACCTCTTGAAATGTATATGTGAAATAATATCAATCAAAACACAAATCAATTGCCATATCTTAATCGCAACAAATTGAAGTAAATACTTAATTACAGACCTCTTAACTCCCCATATATAGTGATTTCAGATAATCAATTACACAAAACAAACACAAAATCAAAGGCTGTGAAACATCTATTAAGGAGAAAGGTGAATATGCTCCTCCGATCACCGACCTCAACGCCCTACTCGACGAGTTCTTGTTGGCTATCATGATTTCGCCGATCTCTGTCGTGCTCAGCGTTGCTCTGTCCTAAAAACACCTCTTCAACTTGTGGAAACAACTTGTGATCCTTGAGCCCTAGATAGTTATTCGCTAAGCTCTTGCAGGAATTGAAATCACAGAGAGGAAAATGAATGTGAACATCGATTCGTCTTGGTCTGAGTATCGATGAATCGATATGTATTTCAGTATTGAGAAATCGACAGCGATGACCTTGTCCGGTGTACTGAACTTCATGGATTGACTTGTGAGTTTGTGTTGCGGAGATGAGAGAATGATGGTGTTCACGCTGAACAACAAAATTGGACGGCTCTGCAACTAGGATTTTCAACCGAATCAATGCTGAACAACCCTCTGAATCGGTGCTGAAACGGTTCATGGTTGATTGATCACAAAGAGAGAGGGAGAGATGGATGAACAGAGGTCAGGTCAGTGAATCGGAGAGAGGGAAGAAGAAATTGTTGGGTACGAAAGAGGAAGAGGGAATGAATTTTCTCTGTGATATATGGATGTAGGGTTAAGGAACCTTAGACATCACAAAATAATATTGTGGATCTCTTCCATCACAAAAAATGGGAGAGGGGCCTTAGACTAATTTTCCCTTAAGAAAATTAGTCATTTGTATATATATATATATATATATATATATTTGCTTCTTTATTAGTTCAGTAAATTATCTTAGTAATTTTTTTAGAGATGAGTATTATCTTAGCATTTGTATTATATTTATCTGTTGAGAAAAATTATATAATTATTTTTAAAATTTTGGAAGAAATGATAAAGAATCATAAATTCACCCAAAATAATATAGTAATAGAATTGGAGTCTACATTATTAGATGTATAATAAATCAAAAAATAATACATATCATACCACATAATTCTACCATATATTTAATAATTTATTTAATTTAATTTCATAAAAAATATGCCAATTTAAAAAAAAATTATTAAAATACCAAGTTAAAACATACTGTAATAATAATACGTGTCATACCATGTCTTTTTAAACTAATATACATATACGTTGGAACTGGTATCTGTTTGGCGGATTACTCTATAAGACATTTCTCCATTGATCCTCTCTCCAACCTCCTCTTCTTCTAATTGGCGCCTCTCAAACAACAAAATCCTTATCCTCAGCACCTTCATACTGTTTCGTTCCCACTGCTATCCATACATAGACTGATGGCAGAACCTCCCCAAATTGATCGATTTCCCGAGTGCAGTCGCGACGAAGACGCCGGAGCAGCTTTCGTCTTAGAATCAAAAGGTACTCCAAACAAACAAATTCACAATCTCAATCTCTCTATGTATATGTGTGTATAAATTAAAGCTGTTTTTAGTCGAGAGATTTAAGAATGAATTTAAAAAAATAAAATAAAATGTTAATAAAATATAAATAAAATATACATATATTTAATTTTACATATCTTCTCTCTTTTCGATTTTAAATCTCTTCCTAATACCTCCACCAAACAAAACGTAATGAGAATGATAGTATTAATTTGTGATGGAAATAAACAGGGCAGTGGTGGCACGCGGGGTTTCATCTGACGACTGCGATAGTAGGGCCGACGATACTGACGCTACCCTACGCATTCAGGGGGTTGGGGTGGGGGCTAGGGTTCTTGTGCTTGACTGTAATGGGAGTGGTGACTTTTTACTCTTATTACCTCATGTCTCTCGTGCTTGAACACTGCGAGAAGGACGGTCGCCGTCACATCCGCTTCCGTGAGCTCGCCGCCGATGTTCTAGGTAATCAAAACCCCTCCCTTACTCGCTCCTTTTCAATTCAGTTTCTTTCTGTGTTCTCGACTCGATCTGTTTTGGAGAAATTATCTGGTAGAGTAGAAACGAATATCAAACACCGTAAATTCATGCGATATTTGGGGTTACCACATGGTCGGAAAAAGTTTTAGTCGCTCTCTAACTTTTTCAAAGTTTAGACAACGGAATAGAGTTGAATTGGTAAGTTAGGTCGAGTCAACCTTCTTTATTGGGTTGAGTAAAGTAGGATGTGGTGATAAGTCAGTTATTTCATGCTTGTAAGTTGTATGTCTGCTTTCTCAACAATCATTTATCCCTCTAATTTTGGAAGTACTAATTGAACACTAATGAAATAGAAATTAAAAAAAAAAAAAAAAAAATCAAAACATCACATCAATAAGTGAACCCACCCCTTAAGAGGGGCTTTTCCCATATTAAGCCTTTTTTTTATCTTATTTCCCAAACTAGGCCTAGTTTGGACGGATTTCTCAAACTAGGGTAAAGCGCTATTATAAATCGTGCTTTCACTGTTTGGAGCCCAAAATTTGATGAATAGTGAAAGCGCTATTACAAAACAGAAATCGCTATTTCAAATCGCGCTTTTAACATAAAATTTTTTTCCTGAAAAAAACGCTATTTGAAATCGCGCTTTCACTGTGCATATAAATTTTTTTTTTTTTTAGAAAACGTTATTTCAAATAACGTTTCTACTGTCAATACAAACCAAAACCAACTCACACTCTGACACACTCACACACCCACAACACTGTAGCATTGAAATTATACAATTTTTATAATTTTCGTAAATACAAATCATTTTTAGGTTATAGATGGTTTGATTTATAATACGTATGTAAGAGTAAAAATTTTTATAATCAAAAAATTTTTTTGCAATTTTTATAATCAAAAATAATTTATAAATTATCAAAAATAATTTATAATACGTATGTATTATAAAATTTTTTATAATAATTTATAATACGTATGTATTTACTTTAAATAAATTATATATAATACGTATGTATTATATATATAATTTTTATATATTTACTTTAAATAAATTATTTTTGATACGTATGTATTATATATATACTTTAAATAAATTATTAATAAATATATAATAATTATTTTACAAAAATAATTTATAAAAATTTATAATTAATACGTATGTAAATAATTTAATACGTATCTTCACATTTACATTTACAGTAAACCCATCTTCACATTTACATACGTATGGTTTAAGGGTAAAATTTTTGATAAATGATAAATCAAATCATCCATAATTTTTATAAAGTAATTAATTTATTTTACAATCAATAATTTTTATTAATAATTTATTTTATAAAATAATTATTATATATTTATTAATAATTTATTTAAAGTATATATATAATACATACGTATTATATATAATTTATTTAAAATAAATACATACGTATTATAAATTATTATAAAAAATTTTATAATACATACGTATTATAAATTATTTTTGATAATTTATAAATTATTTTTGATTATAAAAATTGCAAAAATTATTTTTGATTATAAAAATTTTTACCCTTACATACATATTATAAATCAAACCATCTATAACCTAAAAATGATTTATATTTACGAAAATTATAAAAATTATATAATTTCAATGCTACAGTGTTGTAGGTGTGGGTGTGTGAGTGTGTCAGAGTGTGGGTTGGTTTTGGTTTGTGTTGACAGTAGAAACGTTATTTGAAATAACGTTTTTTAAAAAAAAAAAAAATTTATACGCACAGTGAAAGCGCGATTTCAAATAGCGTTTTCTTCAAAAAAAAAAAATTTATGCTAAAAGCGCGATTTGAAATAGCGATTTCTTAATTAAAAGCGCGTTTTGTAATAGCGCTTTCACTATTCATCAAATTTTGGGCTCCAAACAGTGAAAGTGTGATTTGTAATAGCGCTTTAGCCTAGTTTGAGAATTTCGTCCAAACTAGGCCTAGTTTGGGAATTAAGATAGTAAATTGGCTTAATATGGGAAAGCCCCCCCCCCCCCCCCTAAGAAGCTCGTAATTTAGACCTTCTAAACATTTTTCCTGCTTTCTAATGATAGAGAGGTCTAACAGTAAGAGCTATGCCTGATTTTTAGTGATAAGAGAACTCTAATACTAAGAGCTAACATGTGAGGTGTTGAATAAAAAAAAAAAGTCAAAATATTACATCAGCATGTGAAATCCATCATTAGAGTTTTATTAAAACTCTCAATTAAAACTCTCTAACATTATTGATGGAATTTAATACCCAATCTCAAAATAGAAAGATAGAGGAAAACATACTCGTATTGGTTATTAGCTGTTAAAGAGTTTGGTTAGTATTTATTTAGTGCCAAATTAATAATTTAAAATTAGAATTAATTACTTAAAATTTTTATTTACAAATGTTATAGTAGCGTCTTATCTAAGATTTTTTGAACCAATAATTTTATTTAGTAAAATTGAGAATATTATCAGTTTTTTCTAATTTTTAAAACTAAGAACATTATCAATTTTGTATAGTATTGTTTGAGATAATTGTTTCACTAACTGATAAGAAAAAAAAAAAAAAAAACAGACCATGAAATTAAACGTTTTTGGTCTTCTACTTATTGGTTTGATTCAACTATCCAATGAAGCCGATAACATTATTAGTTTTTTTATTTTTAAGTTTTTATTTTTAATTTTTTTTAATTATTTTTTAATTTTTCAGTTTTGCACATCAATGTTCCATCATCATACTTCTTTATAGACACAAAATTTTCATTTTTGCACAAAAAAATAATTCAATTTTTTTAAAAACAAAAAAAAATGGTTATTTTATTTTATTTTTTTGCACTTAAATTTTTTTTTTTTTTTGGTTTTTTCAATTTGAAAGTTGATATTTTAAAGCTTTGAAAATCAAAATAAATGTCAAATTATCATGTTCCTTTATAGATAATAATAAATAATGAACAATTTTTATTTGAAGGGCAATTTCAACTATCAAAAAGTTTAATGGGACTTGAAAGTTCAAAAAATCTTAATTAGAACTTAATGGAATATAAATTCATAAATTAAAACTTGTGTATAAATACTTCAAAATTAAAGCGGTTGTTTTTTTGATTAAATAATTAAATTGGTTGTGTTGCTTAGTTTTTCTTACAACTAGACATAGAAGATAGTGTGACCTATTGCATTTATGTCGATGAGTAAAATGTGCGAGTAAAAATTTAGTGTAATGGTGCTAACGTGATATCACTAACTCATAATAAAATTATATCATATGAAAGGTAAATATCCTAATTTTTAGGTGCCACATATAAATGGAGGGTAAAAAATAAAAAAAAAAAATTGGATGTTGAACCCCCCCGAATGAAAATAGAAGTCTCTGTCTAGTATTCTAGTGGTACAAAATCCATTTAGAATCATCAATGGAGAGATATATACAATCACGCTTGGGCCTTGTTTGCCGCAGCTTATGGAGATTATTACTTACTTTATTTATTATAATTTTATGTAAGACTGTTTTATGTAGTTTCTACTTACATCTTATATAAGTGATTATTAGAAAGCAATGAAATGAGTGTTTTTAATTTTTATTTTTTGATTATCGAGTAAAACTTCAATATAATAGTGATATCATATTATCATTGACAAGTAATATCACCAATTAAACATAAAACACCACATAGTTGGGTAAACCCTACTACATGAATTATATTTATGATAAATATAGCTAATTATTCAACTCAACTCTCAAACACACACATGTGCATAGTGGAATCGGCGACTTAACCTTTTGGGTAGGGTATGCCCTTGAACACCCTAAAAACATAATTTTATATAATAAATTAATATATATATGTTAAAATTGTTTATTCTCTAAGGTCTCGTTTGGCAAGTAGCTGTTTTAGCGTAAAAGTTAAAAAGTTACTAAAAAAACCAAAAAACCTATAACTTATATCAAAAAGTCAAAGATTCTCTTTTCTTTCTACTTTTTGCACATCTTTTCGTAAAAAGATAAAAAGTCACCCCAAACATACTAGTTTTTTTTACCTCATATTTTAGCTGAAAAGTCAAAAAATTACTAAAATAGTCTGTTCCCAAACGAGACCTAAGTTTGAATATCCTATCTCATTCCATTGAACACCTAACTCACTCAATTCACTTGGTTGAACACCCAACTCATAACCTACGGACTCTTAAAACAACGATGTTAAGATTATCATATTTTTTTACCATAATTTGTTCATTACCTTATATGTCAAACATCATGTTTAATGAAAATCATCACTCATGCTTCTTAATGATATAATATTAACTCATAAGATGATAAATAAAATATGATAAAAAAATATGGTAATTAACATTCTTAATTATATATATATATATATATGTGGTTTCGGTTTATATAGATCCTTCTTTGTTTTTGTTTATCCTCTCTAGTAATATAATTTTTTAGACAATAATCCATTATAAAGTATATATCCATGTATTTTATTGCTTGTCTCAAATCTGGTGCCTATTTATGTTCACAGTTCATACATTGACCAATTAAAAACTTACTTTATAACTTACTGCACAAACTAACCATAAAGAAATTAGACTCTACGAGAAAAAAAAAATCTCATTTTATCATGCTAGTGATAAATATAAAATATATTTATGTAAATTTTTGTATTCTCATTTTGTTTTTTGAAACAATGATATCAATATATTAAAATTTATTTATTTATTTATTTTTTGTATGTATGATTTGAAAAGTCTTAAAAAGTTTAAATTTTTGAATGTCTACGATGAAAAATATTTCTAAGTCGCCACTATAGTGGGGTACATTATACTTACATGGAATGTTATAATTGGATGGTGTCATGGTGATACCATGTCATCATTAACACGTGGTATCACCATTACAAATAATTTTTTCTCCTTATTATTAGCTTTCGGTTTGCAAGAAGCTGCTTTTGAACTTATAATAATGTGTGGTTTTGTTTTCACTTAGGATCTGGGGGGATGTTTTATCTTGTAATATTCATCCAGACGGCAATCAACACTGGCATTGGAATAGGAGCTATCTTGCTTGCAGGTGAATGCCTCCAGGTACTGTTTTTCTTACTCTGCTTCTGAAATTGCAACAAGTGAAGAAATATAATGCACACAATTGCCATTGTTTCTACCCTAAAGTCGACCAATGTTCTTAGCTCTAACCACAAGTTGTATTTGAGCTTTATTCATTACATAAACTTGGTCTTGGTTATTAGATAAAATTTTGATAGTATGGGAGATAATAGTCGCATTCTGAAATGCAGATATGGTTGAAAAATCTGTGATCCTGTAAAGTTGAGCTTGGTAGCAATTCATCGTCATTTACAATCCCATTCTCTTTAGTAGTTTCATGGTTCAACTATATGTGCTAATAACAGTGGGAAGGTAGTTCTTTCAACAATAATTAATAAACGATTAAACATATGAACTTCAAGATTTCCTTAAACAGGAATTCTTTGGGAATATATAAGCAAGAAGTAAAGGCACAAATAGCAGAAATGTAAACCAGGATAACTATGTTTTGCATGCTTTGTGTATTATTTTAGTGATTCTGATTTTTCTCCTTCATGTCTGTACAAGATTATGTACTCAAACCTTTCCCCTAATGGGTCCCTGAAATTGTACGAGTTCATAGCGATGGTGACGGTAGTGATGATAGTTCTTTCCCAGCTTCCAACCTTCCACTCCCTCAGACACATTAACCTGGTTTCACTTCTCCTCAGCTTGGGCTACACTTTGCTTGTCGTTGGTGCTTCTATTCATGCAGGTAAATTCATCCATCTTTCAATAGAAATAACCCATTTTTCATGTTAAGAAGAAAGTTTCAATAGTAAAGCAAAAGGCATTACATATACAATTCTTGTGGCTGAAGAATTGACTTTCATGTGAAGACATGAGAATGTTAACTATAAAGGATGTGCGTTGTGTGCATGTCTCCTCAAATGAGTATTAAAATTGCAGGAGTGACGGCTACTTTAAACTCAAGCCTAGTTTGAAACTTTCAACTTTTAAATTCAACCCACGTTTTGCGTATTTCTGGCTCTTTGTCACCAAACATGAAGAATCATGGATCGGTTTCGTGTGGCACTAAGACTATCTTATATTCATATGTTAAGGACTAGATTTCACTTCATGTGTATCCAAAGTCATTCATGAGAGGAAAGAGGAAGTAACTTGACAATTAGGGGTAAACGACTGGGGGGGTGTTTGGGAAAGAGAACAAAACAGAGGAATTCAATCTATGAACTACCATCTAATTAAGCTACACCAAAATGGAGGATTAGGATCTCTGTCATTGTAGTTGTGCACATGTGAACAACTCATTGCAGGCCTACAGGCCCAAGATGGACTCTTGTTGATTGGGATTCAATTTTGGATTGAAGAGACTAGTAAAATCAATGGCATGATTAGAATCTACGAATAAAGGGAGGAATTATTGGGACTTTAACTTGTAATTATTGGCTAGCGTGTGGAGAACAAGCAGATGTATATTTAAAGACTACCATCTAATTAAGCTACGCCAAAATGGAAGATTAGGATCTCTGTCATTGTAGTTGTGCACATGTGAACAACTCATTGCAGGCCTACAGGCCCAAGATGGACCCTTGTTGATTGGGATTCAAATTTGGATTGAAGAGACTTGTTAAATCAATGGCATGATTAGAATCTATGAATAAAGGGAGGAATTATTGGGACTTTAACTTGTAATTGTTGGCTAGCGTGTGGAGAACAAGCAGATGTATATTTAAAGACTTAACCTTGTGTTAGTGGTGAGAAAGTTTCTTAATCCATCAAGTTGGATTGAATTTTGAATTTTTTTCTTTTTTGAAATTTTAATGTTTGTGGTGATTTTTAATCGTCAACCTCCTTCAAGATCCATGGATCATACATGCATTTCCACGACTAATTCTGCAAAGATGATATCATATTCATGTCAGCACAATCATGTTCAATAATTAGACTAAAATTTACATGCCAGTTTAGTACATTTTGGTTGTAGATTTGTGAGGTAATGATATCAATGCATCTATTCCAATGTATGTCCTGCAGGTACCTCAAAAAATGCCCCGCCAAGGGACTATTCTCTAGAAAAGTCAGAGTCATCAAGGATTTTCAGTGCCTTCACTTCTATCTCCATAATAGCTGCTATTTTTGGGAATGGGATACTACCAGAAATACAAGTAATTTAATTTCCTCCATCAATTTTATGTTCATATCTTGGAGACTATTAATGATTAGATTATAAATTTTGGAGACTATCAATCACAGAATTCATATGACAACAGTATTTTCTTGATTTACATTTTATTGTTTGAAATCCTGCCATGTCAACACTACAGGCAACTCTGGCTCCACCAGTCACTGGGAAGATGCTGAAAGGCCTTTTGTTGTGTTACTCTGTAATTTTCGTTACTTTCTACTCTGCTGCAGTGTCTGGATACTGGGTTTTTGGGAACAAATCCAACTCTAATATTCTCAAGAGCTTAATGCCTGATAATGGACCTTCTTTGGCTCCAACATGGGTTTTAGGCCTAGCAATTGTCTTTGTTCTCCTTCAACTCTTTGCCATCGGGCTGGTAAGCTCATATGTTTTTCCACCAAAAAGAAGGTTTTCATCATGATTTATTCATAAATTGAAGAAAGCTTTTATAGGTTACATTGCGGTAATATTTTTCAACTATTAACACAGGTTTATTCTCAAGTGGCATTTGAGATCATGGAAAAGAAATCGGCTGACGTGAAGCAAGGGCTGTTCTCCAAACGAAACTTAGTCCCAAGACTAATTCTCCGGACTCTGTACATGATATTCTGCGGTTTTTTTGCAGCAATGCTACCATTTTTTGGGGACATTAATGGTGTAGTAGGGGCTATTGGGTTCATCCCTCTAGATTTCATCCTCCCTATGCTTCTCTACAACATGACCTTTAAGCCCCCAAGATCATCCCTCACCTATTGGATCAATGTCTCTATAATGGTCGCCTTCACTGGTGCAGGAATCATGGGTTCATTCTCATCTATCAGGAAGTTGGTTCTTGATGCCAACAAATTCAAGCTCTTTAGCAGTAATGTGGTTGATTGATTTCATACATAAAAAATATGGCTATTTCAAACTCAAATGTGTGGGGAAAATTCCCTAGACACTTCGGAAACATTTCCACAAGAGTGTGTTCATTAGAAACGATAGTTGCACGTAACTAAAACACAAAAAATGCATAGAAAGTATGGTGTGTGGCTTTGAGTGTTATGTGAGTCCTCTTTAAAATAAATCTAAACCACACAGTGCACCTTCTATGCACTTTTCTGTTAAGTGTGTTCAAGGAGAATACACAAAAGTGCTAAGTCCAATCTAGTACATGTTGTTTTAGGAAAGAGAAATAGTAATGCGTTGTGCAATTCAAGTTTGCTACGTACATACAATGACAATTGACCGAATGGATTACCAACAAGACACATAGGTACTCGGCTCACAAACATTAGGAGCCCACAAATGGGTGTCTTGTTAGTTGTTCATTTAGTTATTTGGTCGTTGAGCCTATCTTCTTCTTCTTCTTTATTTTTTGGTTTTTTTTTATGTTTTATTTTTTATTTTTTTTTTGTGTGCAAATATTTCATATACTCAGAAAAACTTGTTTTCTACTGTAATGCCCAAAAACTTGATTGCGTTTCTATACTTCTGTTTCTTCATTTTCTTTTCCATCAAGCAATCAGCTCAAGCTTCAATTCAGGAAATTGAGTATGAAAGGTATGACTAGCATTGAAACTGGGATAGAAATAGAGAAAATTATACTTTACCCTCTTGATTTACGCTCTTAACTGTAGGTTGTTTTCACGTGAGTTTGCTCAATTAAAAACTGCTACATATTACTCCTTTAATTTTTTGATTTGTTTCAATCTTAATTAACTTTCTGTCAATATTTTATTATGAAAGTACATAAACTAGCTGCTTGTGTCATTTGTGTGTGTGTGTGTGCATGTGTTATTTTATTGTGAAAGTAAATAAAACCGAATAGAGTGGTTTATTATTTTTGTTGTGTCATGCTTTATTTGCAAATAGTTATAAACCAAAAACTTAGTTTGATTTGTTTTGTTTTGTTTTGTTTTTTGTTTTGTTTTGTTTTTTTTTTTTTCTTTCTTTCTTTTTTCATTTCTTCCTCTTTTTCTCATCTTTTTTGAGCTCCACCAATTGCTCATCACTCCACCGGCCACCATTATCAATGACTTCCTTTGGCCACTACCTCCCTCGGTCGCTAACCACCTCTTGTTGCCACCAACCACCTACTACTGGCGGTAACCTCCTTTGACCACTACCTTAGGCTGTCGACTAGCCACCATCTCCAACCATTTTTGACCACCACTTCCCACGACTAACAAACACCTTTGGCCACCGCCAACTACCTACAACCTTCTGCCACCACCTCCAATGGTTGGCCCTCACTATAGCGGCCGACAATTATCTCTAGCCATCAACAATCACTTTCAAAATCACTCATTTTACTTATTTTTAAAATATTAATATATCAAGTATATATATTTTTATTTCCGTTTTTATTCAAAATAAATATAAGCATACTTAATATTTTTTATAAACTAAAAAAATAATAAATTGTACCAAACCCAATGCACCTAAATATATGGTACGAAGACTAGTGTTAGAATTTTTTTTTTTTTTTTTTTTTTTGTTTGGACATAAAATGTAATATGAATTGAAAAAGACGGTGCATAATGATTAACGGCAGTGCTACATGCATTAATTAGTATACTACTAATTAGTGTATTAATATATATTACAATATTATTATTCACCCCATCCATTATACAAATTATAAATAATTAAATTTCTAAAATTATATCAAGGGGGCACATCACGAGGGACATTGAAATGATTACCAAAGGATATAAACAAGAATAGGAAGACAAGAAAAAGGTTAAGCTTTTTATCTCTCCATCTCTCTCTCTCTACATTTTCCTTCTTCCTCTATTAATTCTCACACCGGAGGGTTCACTGGGGGACTGCCCCGTTCCCCTTTGGACTTGCATGCAGGTCATTTGACGGAATCATCACCCCAAACCGGAACTTGAAGAGCCTGGACCAGCCCGAGCCATCCACCTGGGACGGACCGCATCATCAATAATTAACAAAACAAAATATCATATTTAAATAATAAATACTTGACAGTGGGATAAAAAAAAAATTACAAAATCATGGAGGATATAAGTGAATCTGTGGTAGAGTTCAAGTAAATTTGCATATTTTCTTTTTCTCTGTCCATGTATTAAGTAATTCCTCTATAATTATTTCATTTTTTTCCATAATTATTAAATTAATTACAAAAAAAATTCATTATTATTCCAAATATAATTTTTCGAACACGTTAAAATAATTAAATAATTAAAAAATCAACTAAAATAATTAAGTTTTCAAACGGATCACGAGTGAAAAGGGTACCGTCGCTGAATCTATATGATAGAAAAAAGAGACGGAGGTGGGAAGCAACGAGCGATTTCTAGCAATTGCTTTTTGTCTATTTTTGACCGTATACCCACCCACCTGTCTTCACCTACCTGTCTTGCTGCCCCAAATTCAAAGTAGTTCAGCAGTCATTCCAATTAGTTCAGGAAAAATACTTTGCAGCTTTAATTTTAAAGTTATTTCTAATAAATTAATTATAGACTTCGCCTATTATAATGTGATGTTTTAATTTTAATTGATTTATTTATTTTTTCTTTTTGTCATGTTATTAGTATTTCATTAAAGTATCAAAATTAATATTATAAATTATTATTGTTATTAGTTCACCTGCATCAACCTTCACTCATACTCATTGGTTTTAATTCCAAAAACAAAATGTAAATAATAAATGAAAACCCACTTACACCTTACACCTTACACTTACACCTTATACTTATACTTACACCTTACACTTACACTTTTTGTGTAAGTGGCACATGGTGTGCACTTGCACACTTAAGAAAACTCCATAAATTAATTATAGACTTCGCCTATTATAATGTGATGTTTTAATTTTAATTGATTTATTTATTTTTTCTTTTTGTCATGTTATTAGTACTTCATTAAAGTATCAAAATTAGTATTATAAATTAGGGTTTGGTTATGGTGTGCAACTTACACCTTACACCTTATACCTTACACTTACACCTTACACTTACACCTTTTGTAAAAAATTAAACCTTACACTTACACCTTTTTTGAGGTTGCACACCATGTGCAACCCACTTACACCTTACACCTTACACTTACACCTTACACTTACACCTTATACTTATACTTACACCTTACACTTACACTTTTTGTGTAAGTGGCACATGGTGTGCACTTGCACACTTAAGAAAACTCCTATAAATTATTATTGTTATTAGTTCACCTGGCATCAATCTTCACTCATACTCATTGGTTTTAGTTCCAAAAACAAAATGTAAATAATAAATGAAATAAAATAAATATTAGATGTCTGTTTGATTTGATTTTTTAAAAGTTATTTCTAAATAAATTTTTATTTATTTATAATAATTTTGTTGATATTTTAATCTTTTTTTTTTTTGTACTTTTTAAATGTACCTAATCAAGATGCATATAAAAAGTAAAACAAATTGACTATTAAAAAAATCATTAAAATAAATGAAAATTCAAACAAAAATCTATGTATATTTTTGTTCAGATTTTCATTTGCTTTTAATAAATTTTTCTTATAATTTAGTTAAACTTTTTTACTTTTTAAAGGCATATAATCTTGATATATCTAATAAGTAAAGATAAAATAAAATGTAATACCTCGAAATAATAACAACAACTCAACTCATAGTATTTAATATAAATATAACATGTGAAACAATAACTTTTTATTTATACTCCTTGATAATATAAAAGATGACATATGCGCTTATAAATTTATAAATCATAAATCCTGAATCTATAGCATGTGACATGTGTACATTGATCGACATAAAATGAGAATCAAGTAATTTTTTATGCCGTAATGACTATATTTTTCCAAGTCAATGCTTGGATATAACAAAATGAGTTAAACTCAATACAATTAAAGCTCAAGACTTATACAAAAATAATTACATTAAAAGAAAAATAAAAGAAGTTCTTGACTCTAAATCCTCCCAAGTTATGTCTTTAATAGAGGTATATCATCAACACCTGAAAGTTATTTTTTTTACATAATGTGAGCTAAAACCTAGTAGAGATACTTTAACACAATATATAAATCTTAATGAAGTCATAAAGTGAATACATATGCATGCCATTTATCAAATATGTTACATTTCTATCTCAAAACAATGCAATGCCAGTCTTTAGTAGAGGCATATCATCAACACTTGAAAGTTATTTTTTACATAAAGTGAGCTAAAGCCTAATAGAGATATTTTAACACAATCTATAAATCTTAATGAAGTCATAAAGTGAATGCATATGCATGTCATTTGTCAAACGTTTTACATTTCTATCTCAAAACAATGTAATGCTAGAATTATATCAATTCATGAAAATATCATTTTATATCATAAAACAAGGCAATGGATACAAAACACTAGGAATCTCTAAGTACGCGTTTACCAGTATGTAACGCCTCGAAAATTGGGCAGGGTATATCTATTTATGCTACAAAACCCACCTGATAGACAAACACATATATATAGCTAACTATTTCATACATCCATTTCCATTAAATTCCAAATGCCAAATACATACTATTTACATCTCAATGCCTTAGTTCCAATCCCAAGCATACATTTTACAACAAGTATGAAATGGAAGCCAAACATATAATAAGTGCCATATAGGCTTACAAATTTATCCAAGAACATTCTTGCTTACACAAAATGGAGTTTCAACGCAACGCAAATACAGCCCTGGGCTTACATTCAACAAATAACAATAAAAAAAAAAATGAAGCCTCAGCTCCGAGTCTTCCCAAGTCAATGCCTTGGCGGAGGCATAGCATGTGTACCTGAAATGGTTTCCCTTATAGGGTAAGTCACAACCTAGTAGAGATATACTACACAACATATGGACCATGACAAGACTAAAGAGGAGTATGCTCATGAATAAACAGTTTATTTCTCTTTTTATAAAGCATGCAATGTTGAGATGTAATAACAGATATAAAAACCATTTCCATTTTAAACCATATATGTTACATGAATACAAGCTCTGTGAATCTCTAGGTGAGTGTCTGCAAGTAGGCCCTAATGCACTACCACCGTCATTTTTACTAGTAAACTGGAAGGCTCAACACTTAACCGCGCAGTTCTACACCCCCTACCCAGATTCACCATGGTGTCGTTTGGTAACACTTACGTTTTCAGTTTTCTGTTTATATTTACAAAAATTTAAAAAACTCAAATAAAAACTTGTTTGGTAAAATTTCTGATTTATAAATAAGTGGACTCAGTTTATAAATTTGGCCAAAAAATGAAAACACAAAAAATGTGTTTCCGTTTTCAACATGCGATTAAACATGTATTCAAATAAGATATTGAAATAACATTTCTACAACAATCATGGCTATCCTCCACCAATAGTCCAAAACAGATATTTAAACAATTAAATTCTAAAATTTTTGATAAATACAATCTATTCCACATCTCATCAAATATGAATAAATATACTAGTTTTCATATCACAATCACGTTCGGTAACCTCTCAAGGTCTATTTCTAACCGTGTCAGTTTTATTCCAACAGATACATTAAGCAAAATAATACCGTTAATGCCCAAGAAAATATCATTTTCTTTCCAAACTCATTCTCCAAGAATTATTCAACTATGATATCCTACTTTGATCAAAAGCCCCAAAATTTAAACATAATTCCTTTATTTTCTTTAAAAATGCTCTTTGGGTCACAAATCGTTAAAAATTTCAA